TAGAAGCTTTATTCAAAAAATAAAATGCAAGTCAAATTTGACACATTACAACACAAAATCATAAAATCAGATGAATCGTGCGTGTAAAATCAAAGAGGACAGCAGAAATGACGACAATTTTGCTTAAATCTGGTCTGTAAAGTACCATCCAATATGCAAATATGTGTACATTCTATTTTTGCACTTTAATATATATTTATCATACCATGAACATTGCATTTTAACACATTCCAGAATAATGTATGTCCATTCCGGTTCGGTTGATCTGATGTTGGAGGTTATAAGCCCATTTCAGTGGATTTTGGGGCATGTGTCTTCTGGTCTGCAAAATACATAAGTAATTCTGACAGGTCCAACATTTCTTTTCTGAAACTTCATGCGTGCACTGGTATAGGTAACAAATTGCCCCTCCAGGTGTGGGTTGATCCCTCACCCCGCCCTGTAGCCTGTACTAACTATACAAAAATATATTTCTTTCTCAAAGATTAGACTGTTTCTAAAGCAAAAAGATGTTTACACGTATGAGTTTTCCTTAGTTAAAATCGTCAATGTTTTAAAACGCTGAAAACAATACCTTCAAAGAAAGGTTACACATTTCAAGAAACATTGTACTTACTCAATGTTTGCTTATGTAAGAGATATTGTGATTGAACAAGTGAGAGCAAAACGAAACAAAAATTTTAATAAACGTTTTCCTCATGAAATTAGGCATGCTATTCACAATGCCAAACGAGTCACACTTAGCTAGCGTTTTAATTCTAATTTTTGCAGTAACTTGGCATTCAGCAGACAGTACACGTATTAATGCGAACCTGTACGCATTTATTAATATATATCTTCTCTGTCAGACTGAGTTAATTTGTCTGCGTAAATTGTCAAACAGTTTGTAGTATTGACATTAAAACTATTGCCTTTTATTAGTTTTTAAAAGAAGTAAATTCGTAACAAAAGAATTTAATTTTCTACCCTGTTCGGACAGAGATTCAGAGATTGCTGATAACACAACGTTTCGCACGATTCATTATTCAGTCTACGTCAATTGTATTCTGAGAGATGAAAAAACTTTTTTCAAGACCTGGAAACACTAAGTATACGAACGGAAGATTCGGTCGTTCAAACACTATTAGATATAAATTAAAGCTGTAGCTAGTTCGCATTCCTATTCATTTACGTAAAACGACGCAAATTTTAAACTTTCGTAGAAAACAAGAATAAACCATTAAGAAAGTGTAGATTCTACACGTAAACATTAACAAAATCATTACTATGATTTCAAGAAATGTTCACACAATGACATCAGGAATTTGTTTCAGTTGGAAATCTTACTTGATTCCATTGAATCCTTAAAAACTACTAAAGAATTTCAGTCAAATTGTGGGCCATTGTTTGTTTAATTAATAATGGTGCTACATTGTTGTTCTGGATACATTCTTGCATGTGTCGATATTTTATTAATCTTTATCTGTTGGATTGTCGTATAAAATAAATATTCAGTTTTTATCTAAAGTTTTGTTGAATGAAAATAGGATTTTTTTTTAATCATTTCACCCCAAGCAAGATAATAAAACCACTAAGATGTATGTGTGAAAGAATATGAGAAAACGAAAAACATTATTAAGAACAGAAAACAATAAAAGAACAGGAATTAAGAAGACAGAAGATGACGATTGACATTTTATTTAAATTTTTGAAGATCAAAGTTGACTGAAAAGCAAGAAGACGAAAATTTTTTTCCCAAGCAGGAAAGTAAGAAGCAGCAAGTGTTTAGAGAGGCCAGTAGCCAATTCAGGAGCACAATTCTGAAGGACTATTGCAGGGATATCATTAAGTCCATATGATTTGTGGAGATCCAGTTCAGAGATGTCAGCAGAAACCATGAACGAAGTTATATGCTTATCATACAGTAGAGTCTCAGTTGTAAGTGGAAAGTCAGGTAAAGATACTCCAGCTGAGTCAAGAGTAGAATTAGAAGAGAATTTACGAGCAAAACATTCTGCTTTATCAGCAGAATACGTTAACACCTCAAACTGAATGAAGAGAGGAGTGATGAAAGACTTACTTTTATTTAATACGCTATTACAAAGCCGCCAGTAGTCACGGGAAGGAACCAAAACGTTAGATGCTATACGATGGCCCATTCTATCAACGAACAAGAGCCAGGAGAGAAGGTATGGAATAAATCAAGTAAAGAACCATGTTGAGCAGAATTATTTAAGAAAGAAGTAGGGAAATCTACTATTTAACTGTGAGACAACGGAAAAATTGAAATACCGGCAACATTAGTGACATTAGACCACTTGACATGATGAGCATTAAAATCACCAAACACAAAGACGTTCGCAGATGAATGCAAGGAGAGAGTCATTTCTATACTGTCAGATATTTTGTCTTATATGTTACAGTCCTAGGGAGACGGGGGCGTTTAGGGGAAAAGTAATAGTAAACAGAATGCAATAATGAAACTCGAAAGCACATGAAAGACTCATTAGGACTCAAGAGACAATTCCCTTGCCATCGGAAGATTTTTACAGATGTAAACACAGGCATACGTATCCTAGAAGAAGAAAATAGCCTGAAACAGAGAATTCATTGGTAGCGAAAGAAGAGTTTAAATTAGCTTCGCAAAGTGCTAAGATATCTGTTTCAAGAAAAAAAAATCTACACTACAGAAATTGATAGGGATATGACCAATAGTGGAGAAAGAAAAGTTAAGGGGGAAGGTGATTTTTTACTCGTATTTCTTTTAATTGTAACTGTTATGAGAAGATCATTTTAAATTTTAAGAAAAAGGGCCAAAATAATTATTGCTGCCCATCGTCCATGGCAATACAAACCTGACGGAAAATACAGTCAAAACACATAAAAATATCAAAAGAAATCTTATTTTGTACTTGTGTAAGTTACAGCGGCGATTATTTAAATAAACCAAAATAGTTTTTGTATTCAACTATTAAGTTGAACCATTGACAAATTCAGCTTGTCAGGTGTGGAGGGAAGATGTTATAATCCGAAGAACACCACCCTGAGTGTAAATTTCGATAGTGGAATCATCATGTTATGGAGATATTTATTTCTAATAGTGTAACACCGTATCCTCACCCCACTGGACCCACGTACTCCACAAGACCGGTCGTTGGTCCGGTATGGTCAAGTATTACAGGTTAGACACAAGTCTCCAGTTCCCATTGTCCATTCGAAACCATCCTCCAGCCACGTTGTGATCGTTTTGATTCTGGAGAGTGGTCATCAGATCGTAGAAATCCGGAAGCTCTCCGTTGGACCACCTGCGAGTTCGTCAGGTGACAATCGGGTTAACAGAAAAATAAATATAACCAAGTCGATTCGATTTTGAAAGGACAAAAGTTTTTCTTATATATATATATATATATATATATATATATATATATATATATATATATATATATATAAGTAACCATACAAAAATAATTCTTGTTGCACAAGGTTCAATGTTTCTTGTATGTGAACAATAACCAAATACAAACACTTAGAATAATTTCGGTAAAGGAGAGATGTGGCCTTCGTTTCAACCCTTTTTGGTCTACAACCTTCGATGTTCCCGTTCTCAGTAGTAGTAGTATTAGTAGTAGCTGGAGTAGCAGTACTTAGATGTTAGCGGCGGTATTTCGCTTCTTTGCCCTCTGCTTCAGCAACACACAGCGGGCGCTTCCTTTTCAATATCTGACGTCTCTGCACTCAGTTCGACTGAATTAGAAGACAGACGAACCCAAAACTTTCTCTCCTCCGTTTGGCCCGCCTCTTTAAGAGAACCGGCCTAGTGACGTATCTGTTTTTCTAGTGCGAACTTACTGACATACTACCAAAGTACAACTTCACTCCTCCGAGAATAAACAATTTACTTTTTCATCGATTGGTTTCCAAGGTTCACAACAAGACGCTATTGTTTATCACCTCGCTATTAATTATTTTGTCGTTTTTTGTAAACTACAGAAATTCTTGTTTTAAAAATAAATTCTAGATCAAAACACCCTTAATTTTAACTTCGATTCTTATAGTGTCAAAATCCATTTCTTTTTTTTAAGTTCCAAATTATTATTGTTCCAGTAATTTTCTGTTAGTAATCTGATATCCTTTGTACACTTACAAAAAGATTGTATTTCGTGTTATAAATTAACTTTCTGTAACATTTACATTTCAAAGTCTTGGTTATTCGAGAATTATTAAATTATGTTAATTTAATGTCAATGCACATGACTTGTGCAAGGTTGAAGTAATTATATATATATTATTAAAATATAATTTTTTCAGGTGTACGAATATTTATTTCCTCTACTAATGTAGAACCTCTATCATTTTAATTGCTGCTTTCCATGTCACATTCCTAAGCAGCTAATTTTCTTGTAAACACAAAGAGAACTCTTCAAACATATGATGATAGTTTTTACATAAATATAAAATGCCTAAACATTGAACATCAAAGGAAATGATAAATAAGGAGAGAAACGTCCATTGAGTTTTATGATAATTATCTCTGCGAATTGTCTGATAGAAGATGAATTATTTTCAAGAGTTCAAAATATGTTGGTAATTTGCGAAACTGGGTCACTTAAATAAAATACTGTCTTTTTTCCTTTGGAATCTGCTACATAATTGCTCTTTATTAAAATTGATCTTTAAACTGGATTATTAACGTATATTTGAAATGAACGAAAAATGGCGTTATTTGATAAGTATATATGTAATGATGTCTATATAAATAAGTGTGCATAGCTGCAATTCTTCAAGATGCTTGATTGATTTTAATCAAAATTCATTCTTAGCAGCTATATATTTATTTTTTCATTCTCTAAGCTTTTCCTCTAAATTAGAATGAAAAAAAAATGATATGAATAATAGTTTTAAATCATAAACGGAGAAAGTTTGCTATGAATTAATAAGTGACAAAAATATGGTAAAAATTGTTTCCATCTATGGATTTTAGGCATAACCTAAACTAGTATCATGGGTAATATAATTTGGTAATGATACTTCGCTACACTTTACATGATTGCTCGCTGACCTCTTGTGGTGTTGCTAGAATTCAATCACTTTCGCTAACCACATATTTCCAGTCTCCCTCTCTCTCTCTCTCTCTCTCTCTCTCTCTCTCTTTGGATCTAAAGAATCGACTGGTGTTCGCACAGCATACACATGTGAGTTTCCTTTCGAAGCTAACACTGTTTGCTTCTGTGAATTAAGAAGAATATTCTAGAAAACAACATGTTTTCATATTCTCTTGATTGATAATCTGTTCGAACGTTTTTTTAGTGTTGGTTAGTTTCATGGATTAAACATAGAATATAACTTTTAAATGAGTTTAAGCATTTTAAGGGAATTCCAATGCACATAAATTGATTTTCAGTAAAAGACGGCGTTCCACTTGAAAATGTTTAACATTTGACATCGAATGATTTATTATTTAAAAATTCAAGAAAATGATTTGTTGTATTTAAAATATACGGGAATAGCATAAAATTATTATTTTCACAGAGAATTTTTACAAAATTGGAAGAAATTTGAAAAATAGTGAAAAAACTCGATAATGTAGGCATTTCATATTATTTTGCTTTAGCTCAGAAATCAGAAGCCAAGAAGAAATAGTTATTCTTCAATATATAGTTATTCATCAAAGAGTTTTCTTTCTTAGGTATTGTGTAATCAAGCGTTTAAAATATTTAGGAAAATTTCCAACAAACTATTTAGTCAAATTAAAAATCGAACTAGACACCATGATTTTTACAAGGGCATTTTTGACGTCTACTTAACGCAACACATTCCAGAAGATTTGGTACTTGACTTCCAGCGCTTTGAAGGCAACGTTAATATTTGGATATGTTTCTTCTGTGTGGTAGCGAGAATAAACTGAGTCCTACAACTCTGCAAATAATATGGAAGATATTTCAACTAATTAACCAAAAATGTATGAAATTGTACAGTATTTTGGGTGATGTGTGGGTCAGAGCTCGATCATTGAACAACTATATTGCATCGATTTGCATGCAGCCTTGAACAGCAATATATTAGGGTTAAACAAAACCCAATGTATTGCTGTAGTGTTTGATGTTAGATTGAACAGTTCATCTTACAATTTTAAGGTCAGGAGAAAATGGAGAAAGATAAGATACCATATTTGTGCTGTACATTTTAGTCGATCGGTTCATAGCCCGAATTCAGTTTATTGAAAAGAAATATTATTTTATAGTTTCACTGAGCTTTCAACAACTGATTGTACATTTGTATCCATTGCCATTGATATCATAGTTTTTAATTATAAATATTGAGAAAATAACCTGGAATACTCTAAAAAGAAAAAGAATGAGTTGTTTTTTCTATAAGAACAAAATGATAATGGTATCGCTTCTATAATATTGCCTGATTAAAAGAAGAATAAATATAACTTGTTTAGACACCAAACTGCAAATAATCATTCATTATTAATAAAATATTAAAGTGACGAAAAAAATAAATGTGAGAAAAATGACAATTACAGTTCATCATGTCGAATGACATGATGAATGACATTTGTTTGCAATTATGTATCAATATTTATGTTTGGACATTTATTTTCTCTTACATTTCGTTCTTAATTCCTAATCTTAATAATGTTCTTGTGTTTGTTTTCCAGCTAATATTTTAATATAAACAGGCTACCTAATGCTAATCGATAAACAGGAGAGTATCCAGAATTTTGAGTTGGGTGGTGTCTAAATGGACAAATTTATGTAGTCATCTGGAATTTTTGTTTATGAAGTTTATTAATTAGTAATTAGGTTTATTTGAATTATTTTAATTATAAAACTACTTTTATCTAGCAGTATTTTAAATTGTGCCCTATCTGAGCTAGAGATGTCAGAAACCTCTGGAGTCTCGCTCGAATTCTCGCCTTATAAAATATACAAGGTAAATTCGGAGCATAACGGATATCGGTCGTAGAGAATTTTCTTCGCCTAAAACAAAAATTGCTGTTAATTAAAAATTAATGTCTTTGTTGCATGCCATACATCATTAAACATTTATTGTTCACAGGATAATTTGTTTTTCGCTATAAATTATACAACTATAAGGCTTAGTAAGGTTATGTTTTTATTTTCGTCATAAAGTTATTTTTTCGACCTCTTGGATTTAAACCTAAGACTTTGTTGTCTAAATTCTCTGTATAGTCAAAATGCCATTATTTCAAAATACTTAGAAATTCTATTTAAAAGCCAATGTAAACACTGAGGATTGTTATTACTTGTACACAGTTTCATATATTAAACGTGATATATTGCGAAATGTTCCACTTCCAATATTTTTATAAAAAAAACGTGTAAAAATCTCGCCTAACTAACTCGACCCAATCTAACCAAACTTATTTAGATGTGAAAAATTAAGACTAAGTTAGGGTAGGGTAGGCCAAGTTTTAACATATTAAACTGCTAAAATGTCGGGAAATTAATTGAAAAAGTTGTGTAAGAGGATCTAAAATTTCCTCCAATTTTATTTACTTTAATATCCATTTTGTGACTGCCCGCAGATACTTATTTCATTAATGGCGCGTCATGAATTATTTTGGCGAAGGCGCTCAGTAGTTCTTCGGTCATGCGCAGTGTAGACGGAAGTGCATGCCGGCCAAAACGTAAAATGTGTCAAAGAAACAACAAAAGTGTTGTTTAATTCTGTTTTTTCTCGGTTGAGGCCAGAGTGAGAACTAATCCATCTGGGATGGTAAACACAGCGTTTCTTTGTAAAATGATAATAATGGTAATTTTTCTTCTCGCCTCATTTGGTAGATCATAGCATTTCAATGAGTATATAAAAGATTTAGACATAATGATCTTATTGTAACTCGGTGTCGGATATTACGTCTTGTATATTCCCATACACAGGGTTTTGATGCAAAAAGATTCACGAATTTTTGGCACAATTTTATTTGTCGTTAGCGAACTGCAAAAGCTTTGTAGAGTGTTTTTGTAGCCCTCGCTGTAATAATATTATTATTATATGATTATACTACACCGAGAAACTCAAGAAACTTCTTTGAAGTTTGTTGCAGAAAGATATGCACTCCTGCTGAGAAGATAGGACAAATGCGTTACTGCAACGTATATATGTATTCGGCTGTTAAATTAGGATAAATTCTGAGGAAAAGCAAACGGTTTTATTGGATGATTCAAATCAGTCTTCATCGTCGTTTCATTGCCAATCTGCTGAACATGAACAATATGATGAAACTAAATATTCAGTATTAATCACGAAAGATGTAGGTTGTATGTAAATTGTGATAAACCACAAATTTCTTATGATCTATGCATACAAATGGTGAAGATGGGTGCTAAAGCTTTTCAGAACAAAGACGACCATTTCAAAGTTACAAAAGATGGGGAAATTATTGAGAGTTGATGTGTTGAAGAAGCGATAAGAAGTGAAATGAGCACAAAACATGGGTGGGTGTCGACGGCAGCTTCACGAATTACTGGTTTTTAAAAAAAACTGCAGGATGGAGCTACAATTCCGTGTAATTGGTTGTTGTACTCTATTAAAAATGATGCATTGTATTGTTTTGGCTGTTTATTGTTTTCAATAGACCTAGTCAAATAAAGCTCGGTATTCAAAATAATTTTGTGGATTTTGAAAATGGAAAAAATGCAACAAAAGAATACTAGAACATGAACAGTGCACTCATCACTGTGCATCATTTCTTGCATGGAAAGACTTTGAGAGATGCATACCAGAAATGGTCTATGATTGACTGACTAATAATGAACGATATCGAGGTACAGAAGCAATCGTGGAAGGATCTTCTCTCATGCGTTTTATGGATTATATCCCGTTTTTGGCGACTCAACATCGGGCATTTCATAGACACCTAGAAGTCATTGCATCAAATAATAATCTCTGTAATTTCCTTGCACTCGTTAAGCTACTTAGTAAGTATGACCCTCTGTTGCAGCATCACTTGGATTATATCAAGTCGCATCCACATTCTGCAACATTTTTGTCTGACAAGATACAGAATAAGTTCATTGAGCTATTAGGCAACAAAGTACGCCAGTCTATCGCACAGAGAGTCAAAAAAAGTAGATACTATGTGATTATGTTCGTCACTACCTCAAAATTGGAACATGATGGTGTTGAGTTGGACAGACGTATGTGAATGCTGTAACAATGACTGGGAAGATGTCCCGTGTTCAGAAACGCATATTACAGAGAAACCCGAAAGCAGTTTTTGTGAATTATGACGACCATTCTTTGAACCTCGTAGAAGTTCTTGCAGTATCAGAGCAGGTGTTTACTATACCATTTTTTAGAGTTCTTCATTCATTGTACATTTTTTCTCCAGCTCAACAATGCGGTGGGAGAAATTTAAGCTGACAGTAGGGACGGCTGTAAAGCAGCCCCCTGATACAAGATGGAATGTTAGGCGCGATGCTGTTCACGTTGTAAAAGCGAAGTTGGATCACATAGCTAAAATGTTGGAGGATATGGCAAGTGACAGTATCACTCGACACAAGAAACAACGCCAGGTGCTTGCTGCACAACATGCAAACTTTCAGCTTCCTAATTATGCTGCCATTCTGGGACGACGTCTTGACTTTCATTGACCGAGTTCAGAAGAGACTTCAATGAAGCTCTACCTGATATTCAAGTCTGTAACAATCTTTTATAAGTGAACTGCATTATCTGTAAAAATTCAGTTGGAAAGAGCGAGAAAAATGCTTAGAATTGGGTATTGATGTTGCTCAACAGAGAAGGTTGGATTGTAAAAAGAGAATGGCTGGAGAGGAGACGAAAAATGAGCCTCTAAATGTGAGTGAAGAAATGGATGTTACCTTAAAGGCAATACTGGACAGGTTGAATACAGAACTGAAAGATCGATTTACAAGGTTGTGCCAGTTACATGAGCAAATTGGGTTCCTCTTGGATATTGAAAGCTTCATTGACTCGAACGAAGACATGGTAGAAGGGGATTTTGATGGAATAGAACAGGGTCGCAAAATTAGACTGCTGATTGTTAATACAAAAAAGAAAAGACAATGCCTTTTTTAAACCAAAAAACTCAATCGAGCTTTTCAACATCACAATGTCTTACGATGATGATATGTTCCTCAGTAGCATTACGCATACTGTTGGATGTTGCTGTCTCTGTAATGTCCTGTGAGCGCTCTTTCAGCAAAGAAAAATTAATAAAAAAACCCGAAGCAAATGGGTCAGAAACGCCTAAGCAATTTGGCTTTATTAAACATCGAAAATGAAGGATTTGGATATATAAATTTGGATGGTTTTATTGACAAATTTCTGACCACTAAGCCTTGTCGTATGTCTCGGCTTTACGAATTCAAATAGATGAAATGAATTGCTCTGGTCTTTTACTTTAAGTTTCTTAATAATGCACAGTGCTTGTTAGATCAAATAAAAAGTATTTGAATTATATTTAAATACTTTTTCAGAGCATTTGTATTTATATGAAAAAGCATTTATATTTAGATTTTTCCTAGTTTCAGAAGTATTTGTATTTTTGGAATCTATAAGAAAATTAGTTGTATTTATATTTGTATTTCCAGTTATGTCGCGTCAGTTATCGCAAAAAATATTTGTATTTGACTTCCTAAAAAATTCGTATTTGATCCATCTTGTCGAGTTCTTGCAGCCGAATAAGACCTGGGCATGCCACTGGTTGCATGAATATTTTCGAAGAAAATTATTTCAGCCAAGTTAATGATAACGTTGTGTTTAGTCTGGGTTCAATTTCTTTTGTAGCGGTTGCGTAAATTCTTGTAATGAGGTGAGGTTGGATATTCTTGTATTTTTCTTTTAATTATTAATTTTTATGGAAGCCATAAAATCATAAATGGAGAAGGAGAAGGTCTTATTTTTTTATTTCGCAAGAGTAAATCAGAAAAGCCAAAATATACATTGGAAACTGAAAAAGATATTCTGTATTTTAAAATTATGATATATTTATTTGAATTTGAAACTCTAAAGATATTTATAAAATCTAGACTGGAAATATTTTGGAGATTGTAGTAATAAGAAATTATTGAAACTAGTTCGGTATCTGTTGCTTCGCTGACATCAAAATGACCAAATGTAACATCCAAATTATTTGGCCACTATTTTTACTCCATTATGACTCTTTTGAATTCATATATACAGTGCTGTTCGATAAAAGTGACTCAACTGATTTTTTTTACTAAATGTTCTCTTCTCCGATGAAACGAAAGTTGAGCTAAATTCAAAGGATAAGCGATCTAAAATCCGAAGAAAGCTGTTTGAATTTAGCAGTAAGTACTGTCAAGCATCCGTTCAGTATAATGTTCTGGGGATGCTTTTCTTTTCATGGAACTGGTTTCTTAAAACCTATTGAAAAGACCCTCAGGAGCGAGCAGTACAAGAGAATATTAGAGTCTTGTCTGATCCCTTCTGCTGAAAGGGTGCAAGTCGACCCCACCAAGCTCTTTTTTATGCAGAATAATGCTCCCTGTCAAAAATCAAAATTGATGAAGGAATACTTTGATGAGAAGCAGGTGAGTGTTATGACATGGGCGCCCCAACCTCCTGACCTCAACCCCATAGAAAACTTATGGAGCATGTTGCTCGACTGCTTTCTCGAGAGCCTGTACTTTATAATGCTCCATAAGTTTTCTCTAATAAAAGTAACATTCATTGAGTTGCAAGAGAATTATAGTGGCGTTAGTTAACTATAGTCAAAACTCAAAACTGATAGGGTAAATAAACTTCCAATGACTTAAAGCAAAATTTAAACCGTAATTTATTTACATTTTCAGAACAAATTTTTGCATATAAAAATGCATGTAAGACTTGTAAGTTGATTTATGTTGTTATATCTTTTTATAATAGACAGTTTTTTCATCTGAAATTTTCATAAAAATAGACATGAGTTTGGTATAAAGGTAACACATTTTAGTATATGTGATTACTCACAGATTACAGGATGAAAGAAAGTACAAACGTATTGATTTAGGGAAGCTTGCATGTAGTTTTTTTCATTTGTCAATGTGTCCTTTGATCTGTAGCCACTTGGGTGATTTCATTGAGAATAGTTTGGCGGAAATTTGTGTTGACAAGCTGACATTTTGGTTGTAAAGTTATATATTAACCTGTTTTTAAAGCAGACAAAATCGAAGTTTATCTTTTAATTTACTCGAACCAACAGTATATCTGCAAATTTGTAATTTTATTTTACATTTTAATTTAGTCATTTTCATTTTACCAAAGCTTGCTCTCTCTCTCTCTCTCTCTCTATATATATATATATATATATATATATATATATATATATATATATGAGTAATACAAATAAAAATTATCCTTAATTGTTTGATGTTATATTCAACAGTTCGACTCCAGAGTTTCCGAGACGAATACCGAAGTTGAGTCCGACGGGGGTGGCAAAAAACACAAATAAAATAAAAACTCACGACACCAAACAAAATTGCTGATAAAAGGGTAACAACCTTTTATATCTTAAAGTCCGTTACATAAAAACAAAATTGTTCTCATTTCCCGACCCGCTCTGTGGACTATGGCACCAAGCTTCTATCACACAATAGAAAAATGTCGAATTACCTACTTTCTAGAATCATGTATGTATGTCGGAGTGTGGTTCAGTTCGACACTGGGGCTAATTTCTATCGATCATTCGCAGTTGATTCTTCTCTCCGACTTGAGTTGTATTTCTTCTTCTTCGTCTGCTTGGGCTGGTAGTTTTCCTGTTTCAACTTGGTGGAAGATTTCTTGTTTCAACTTAGCCGCAACTCTCTGTCGTCTGAGGTGGTCTCTTCTCACTGCCGTCCGGGGCTGAACTTTAAATTCTCATCGACTTTCGGCTTGTCTGCATCTCCAATTCTTCTCAGGCTTTCAGGCAATCTTCTTCTTCATCTACTCCTGTCTTCGACTTGCTGGAAGTTCTTCTTGTCTGAGGGTTCTTTTCTCGCTGCCGTCCGGGGATGAACTTGCCGTAACTCTGCCGTAACTCTGCCACAACTCTTGCTGCCTTCTGGCCTGCATTCTTCATCTTATCTGCCTGCAATTTTCGGCCTGTCTGGCCTGCAGCTCTTCTTCTTATCTTCTGCAATTCTTCGGCCTTCATCTGGCCTGCAGCTCTTCTTCTTCTTCGACTCTACTCTGGGCTTTCGGCAATCTTCTTCTTCGATTTGGGCTGGAAGGATTTCTTGTCTGAGGATTCTTCTGCCCGCAAAGGGGCGAGTGAATCGGGCCTGATGGCCGCGTTCAGGCTCTTTCCCTGCCCGCGGTTCAACTGCAACTCCAACTCCATCTGCAACTCCAACTCTACTGATTTCTGTCGACTGGGGTCCTGCTTATATTGACGCCGCAACAAACTGGGGTGGGTCTGTCGGCGTCAGGGTTTTCTCGATAATTCCAAAACTGCATTAATTCTGTCTTCTCCATTATCGCTATTGTTTTCACCCCTACTTCCTCGCAGTACCTTTGGTGGGGCGGCGCACATCCATCTCTCTTAGTCTCTCGTATGTCAGGTGACCGCTTTTCAACCAATCGTTCCTGATCGAGCATTTCTTTCCCTTTTCTTCCGCAGGTCACGTGATCGTATTCGACCAATTGTTATTGGTCGAACATTTCTTTCCCTTTTCTTCCGCAGGTCACGTGATCGTATTCGACCAATTGTTATTGATCGAACATCCTCTCCCCTCTGTTTGCGGGCGTGGTTACATCGTTCTTGTTTAAAAAAACAAAATCCAATTTTTCCTTTTTGCACGTACGCAAAATGACAATCTTTGGCTTTCTCTCACCTGGACTTTGTCAAACAGCCCGCTGCTAATTAGTCTTGACTTTAGAAAGGATCTTTTCCGCCTTCTTGGCGCCCTCTGTGAGCCAAAAGCAATTGTCCCTCTTTTTTACCTCTTTGTTTTTCCTGATAGTCGAAAATCTTAATTATCTACATTGAAATGTCTCTACTTTATTAACGTGGGTGTCCAATTCTTAACAGGTCTGTATATCGTTCCACCGGTCACTCCCCTCAACCCAAAGACACTTTTTCTCTGATTAAAAATTGTTTCATTGTTCCCAAAATTTCTCTTTATCCAAATTGATAAGGTGTCTTTCCATGCAAAAGTAGGCTAGGTGCTTTGACCGACATTCTTATCAAAATGACTTTCGAAAATCGGCCAAGACGCTGACCTAAATCTCTTTCTGACTCCTATCTCCACCCTCAATTGGGTCATGCGTCATACATTTCTCTGTCTTTCTTTTCTTCCTTCCTTCCTTTTTCCTTTCTTTCCTTCTTCTTTCCTTAGGATCGTCTAGTACACTCTTAGTGAATTATTTTCAACTCAGTTATTTTCCGTTTTTAAAAAAAATTAACAACCTGTTTAATAAACTGAGTAAGAAAAAATTAAATCATATTTCTAGGAATATTTCTAATAATGCAAGGTGCCACAATCCTCCCCTAACCGATTTGTCATTTACCCGTAAATGACACCTAAACCCAATTACATCATTTAACATGCACCATGCATTTGTCTCATGCAATTCTATTCTACTTTCTAACATGCAAGGGTAATGTTCTTTCCATTTTCTTTTTGTTCTACATGCAATGAAATGT